CCACTTAGTACCTATTCTCAATAAAGAAAAAAGGCTTCTCAATTTGCTTAAAGTTAGTCAAATAAGATGTATAATCATGTCCTAAATGATGGCCTATCTGAGTAATTATACAGTTAACTACATGTAATTTAAACCTAGGATCTAGAACAAGGCCTAATCTATAAGAAGGAATATCTAACCAATATCTCTCTATTTTCTTCCATCTTTGAAACAATTTCACTTAAAATGTTATTATATCTATATTCAGCAAATTTTAGAAATTTGAAGTAAAATATCTAACACTAAATTAGTAGTTGGATAATAAATACCACTTAATGTATTAGTAGCATCATAAAAAATTTGAAGAAATGAATAAAAAAGTTCACAAACCGCCCAATCATCATAGCTGACAACTTCCTCTGGATGATTCTTCCGGTTGACGAAATCTGTAATTTGTTTCGCGGTTGGCAAAGCTTTTTCCAACATCAGGTAGGTGGAGTTCCAACGGATAGGCATGTCTGTACATAACTTCAAAGGTCGAACCGGTGGGTCCTCTTGCCTACAATATTTGATATACTCCTGCCATCTTTTATTGCTACCGCTGACGATAAATCCGATAGCTTTGCGCACCCTCTCCATCTTCGATTGTATAGTATCTAAACCTGCTTTAACTATCAAATTGATGATGTAGTAAGCATATCTCTGGTGAAAAAATTTGCTTTCACCACGCAGATCCAATTTCTTTTCAAATAAAGAGTTTGTCGCGGTGTTAGCAGCTGCATTATCAAGCGTTAGTGCTACAACTCTATCAGTTAATAAATATTCTTGCAAAACATCAAGAATTGTAAAATAAATAGTTTCAGCACTATGTTTTTCATATAATGGTTTAAAACCTATCAATTTTTGTTGTAAACCCCAATTATGATCTAAGAAATGTACTGTGACAGTTAAAAAATCGGTTTTTGATCGACAAGCCCATATGTCTGATGTAAGTGCAATAGATATATTCCTAAAATTTTGAAATTCGTTTTTAAGTTTATTATTTATTTTGTTATAAAGTTTTATTATATCTCTTCTACTTGTAATTCTACTAACAGCTGTATATGCTGGACAAAATGCAGTTTTAACCATATGAATAAAAAAAGGATTTTCAGATAAACAAATGGGAGAGTCCGTAGCAACTATATAACTCGCTATTTCCTCTCGCGCTACATGTGCATTACATTGCCATGTTGAGAAAGTTGAGGATTGTGGATTAAAATTAAGTTGAGTTTGAATTTGTCTACCTAATCTGCTTGAAGATGCATCAGGCAATTGCATTATTTGGAGGTGCTTCTTCTCCACGTGTCGTTGCATCGTCGAAGCCCCCTTCTCAGCGCCAACAATGGCTCCACAAAAATTACATATCCCACACGATTCTTCCCCCTCCCCATTTGTCTTTGGCCGTTTTGATTTGGTGAAGTATCGTCATACATCGGACACAACCCTCTTTGACGGTGGGGGGGGTTGGGCTATGCCCTTGCCCGTTGACTCGCAGCTCGCATGTGTTTGGCTACACCTCGTCCCGACCGAATGTGGTTGTGGAATTGCAGCTACTTCCTCTGGAGAAAATGGTGAAAATGGATTGAAGCCTTCCATTTCTTCATTGGATGGAACGTAAAATTGATTTGGGGAAGCCATTATAAATTTATGATAAAATAATAAATAATTAAAATTAAATTAAATTAAATAATAATATTAAAATTTTATGATATTGAAAAATAGAAAAAAAAATTGAATAATTGAATATATAATATGAATAAATTATAAAAATAAATACAAATTGAATGAGAAATAATTAAAATCAGAAATTGATTGGAGATTTAGAGTAGAGAGATTGAGAGAATGAGAGATTGATTGGAGTGGAAAAAATGAAAGATTTTAGGGTTATTTATAGTGTAGTTGTGGGGGGGAAAATGAAAAAAAAAATTTCAATTTATATTAAACTTATAACCGTTGGCTGTGACCGTTGCCAGCCAATAGTTATAAGTTTAAACACTACTGTTGGCTGCTGCAGGCCTACAACAGCCAACGGTTATTTTAATTTTTTTTTGTTTTTTTAAATAAATTTTGTCAAATTTTATTTTAGCCCTCGTATTTTATGTTCATTTAAAAATGATATGGGGTTTTAGGTAATTTGATAGGGGTTATATTGAAAAAATCAAAAAAAATTGGGCCCAGGCCCGGGCCTTGGAGGAGGGCCCTCCTCCGTAGGCCTGGTCTCGTTTTGGGACCAGGCCTCCTAGGACCGGGTTTTGGGACTGGGCCTTTGAATGCCCACCTCTATTTGTATCTAAGAATGAACCTGCTTTCCCAAATTAGAACTTTAATTCACGTTAGTCTTCACTCTTCACCCACTATTTTCCTACATTTCAAACGTCACCATTCAGCTGCTCAAAATTATTAATGAAATTTGAGTTACTAACTATATTTATATCAAGGAAATTCCCTTTTTTTTTCTTATTAATTCATATTAAAAGTTAATGTAACATTGACTTGACTTAAGTTTTGGTTGACTTTAACTTAGGCTGGGTCTAATCAAAGTCATGAAAATTTATATTATAACTTTGGAAGCCAAAAATAAGAAAATTAAAATTAAAAGAAGGTTGTGCTCAAGGTTTATTCAACACATTTACTCAAAAATTTTCTTCTCATAGATTTATTCAAGTAGGGATTATTGTGTTATTACATTTTTTTCTCTCATATTCTTGATATAGTATTATTTTCTTTGCTTTAGGTTTGATTTTTTTTTAAGTTTTTACTAGTTGTTTAGCAAACAATAGTGAAGTTGTCGAGGCCCCCCACGACAAAACCCCTGGATCTGCCATTGGCCCATGGCAAGTTGGCAACACGATGAATTCAATTAATGGCAATTAAATAATCATAAAAGAAAGATTTTTATCAGTAAAAAAGTTTTTTAAGTGTTATTTATCTTGCGTCATCATGCTGATGTGAGCATGATGACATCATACTGACATAAGCAGGAGAAGAAAAATCTAGATAATTTCAAAATTCAATAACAAAAACCAAACTAGATGCCAAATCCACTAACCAGAAGTTTTAGGTGTTGTGGATTTTCGCAAGTGTATGGTCGCCTTTTATTAGGCCTTTGTACATTGTTCTTGTTTCTTTAATATGATTACTTACTTAACAAAAAAAAAGAAAGTTAGAAAGCTGACAAATTGACAATTTCATCACTTTCAAAACAGAGAGATTATTTATCACTTGCAACCACTTAGAGGATTTGTTGAGATCCACATAACTTAAATCAAGGTGCTCTAGCAAAGAAAGACCAAATAACCAAAAAGTGATCTCAGCATACAAAACATTCCCACCACTGAGGTCAAGATATTTCAGGTAAGAGAGATTTCCCAATTGATGAGGAATCATTCCTGAAAATCCAACTCCAGAAAGATGAAGATACCTTAACTTTCCCATAGAACCAAGAAATCTAGGATCTAAATTCCTTCAAAATAATTTTTGCTTAAGTTCAAGTAAATTAAATCTTTCAAATCAAGCAAAGAGGGATTTATCTTACCACCTAATTCTGACCTCCAAAAAGCTTCGTACTCAGAATCATTGTGAGGATTTTGAAGGTGGAGCTGAAGCTAATATCGATGATTGCTAAGGCTAGTAACTCAAGAAAAGAACAACAATACTCATGCTCGGTTTCATGGTCATTGAAACTCTGAATAGAAACTATATGACAAGGGATGTGATGAGAACGTTGTCAATAGCATTCTATATATATAGGATTATATGCTCCATAATCTCAAAATATCTCAGCTTCCATAAATTTGAACAACCATATTGTAGGTCCAGATTAGATTAATTTGGAATTTTTTCTGCATGAAAGTTGCAGGAAATTTCCTTGATTACAACTTTTGATCAAAATTTCTTAGAGTGGGCCGGCGGGTTGCCATCACAGTAGACTCTAAGTCAACTAAAAGAAGTAATTATTTATCATATAATTATGTAAGTTAAAAATTCAAAACTAAAACACAAAATATAATAAAAAATATTTGTCAACTTATTTATTTATGAATCTCATTGAAATGAAAAGTGTATTTTATAAAATTGCATTAATATTTTTAACAAATTTAAAGTTAATTGTGTTTTATTATTAAGTATCCTATAATTATAACTTGTAAGTTTCGTATAAAAATTAAAAAGTACCCTCTAAATAGTGCTTTCTAATTATGTTTTGCCCAAAAACTGCTCCCTTTATGATTGGTCCTTGGGGAGGGGTGATCGGGCCTATGCCGATTCCTCCTCAAGGGTCGGTCCTAGGCCCGAGCCAGATTAATTTAAAAAACCCACTAGCCCAATCACCAAAACCACATATAATGTAAAAATAAATAATAAATTTAGGGTTTAAAATGTAATTTTATAATTAGGGGGTTCAATTGAAATTTTTCAAGCCCATCAAATTGGTCCTAAACAGGTCAGGCCCGAGTTTGGGACCAATTTGGGCTCTCACAAAAGTGACGGACCCAATATCAGTCCCCGCTAATTTGGGCTTAAGATCGGGCCCAAATTGGGATTGATCATAGTTGGGCTCGGGCCTGAGATTGTCAGGCCCAACTTTTGTCCACCTCTACTTTAGAGGGGATTGTGATATTTCTCTAACCAATTTTTGGAGATCAAGTGGTTCGATGAGGTGTCTTAAATACATTATTTAATAGATTTTGAGTTTGTGTCTCTTATTAATTGTTAATAAATATGACCACTTAAATTTTAAGATAATTAAAACTAACGTAGCACTCCTAATTTTTTTTAAGAAAAAAGGGACCCTTCTTTGATCACCGCGTTCTCACGCTAAACTCCGAAAGCAAATTTGTGTAGTGGGCCAATGGATGACGTCCCTGCACATGTAAGCTATTTTGTATGATAGTCGTCAACAGTTCTAACGTATTGTTTTCAATACGTATCTTCCTTTCCAGGTATAGGAATTAATTACTATTCGCCATTCGTATAAATTCCCCGTTTCTCTCTTTATTCTACACCCAAGTGCACATGTAACCTAGCCTCCTCTCTTTTCCCTTCTCTGTTTTCTCTTCTGTGTGTCCATGGACTCAAAATCTTCTCCAGTTGAAATCTTCTTTTTCCCCTATGTCGGAGGAGGCCATCAAATCCCCATGATTGACATAGCTAGAATCTTTGCTTCTCATGGTGCCAAATCCACCGTCATCACAACCCCAAAACACGCTCTTTCTTTCCAAAAATCCATTAACCGTGACCAAGAATCTGGCCTCTCCGTCTCCATCAAGACTCTCCATTTACCAGACGACATAGACATAGCAGACACAGACATGTCTGCTTCACCACACACTGACACTTCTATGCTTCAAGAACCACTTAAAGCGCTTCTTGCTGAGCACAAACCTGATTGCATAGTTCATGATGCGTTTCATCGCTGGTCTGCTGAAGCAATCTACAGTCTTGGTATTCCGAGACTTGTGTTTAATGGGAATGGTTGCTTCTCCCGTTGTGTCATGGAAAATTTGGGAAAGTATAAGCCTCATGAGAAGGCGAGTTCTGATTACGAGCCTTTTGTTGTTCCTGGTCTTCCTGATCGAGTTGAACTCACCAAATCTCAGCTTCCAATTATGATAAGACAACCTCAGCAACGTGGGTTTGTTCCTAAAAAGATGGGAAAGCCTGAAGAGAACAGTTTTGGGGTTGTGGTTAACAGTTTTTATGAACTGGAGCCGGCTTATGTTGAGTATTTCAAGAAAGAGATGGGTAACAAAGCGTGGCTTGTTGGACCAGTTTCTTTATGTAACAGGAATGTTGAAGATAAAGCTGAAAGAGGCAAAAAGGCCACCGTTGATGAACAGCAAGTTCTCAGCTTTCTTGACTCTAAAGAACCCAGTTCGGTTCTTTACATTAGTTTCGGAAGCTTAGCTCGTTTGGCTCCTGAACAGCTCCTGGAGATTGCCTACGGTCTTGAGGCTTCTAATCATCCATTCATTTGGGCTGTTGGAAAGATTTTCCGATCCGCTGTGAAGGACATAGAAAATGAAGAAACTTGGCTTCCCAGTGGATTTGAAGAGAGAATTAGAGAGTCCAAGAGAGGACTAATAATAAGAGGATGGGCACCACAGCTTTTAATTCTAGAACACCCGGCAGTGGGGGGTTTTCTAACACATTGTGGCTGGAACTCGACGCTAGAAGGCGTGTGTGCCGGTCTGCCAATGATAACTTGGCCTATTACAGCAGAGCAATTTTCGAATGAGAAACTGATTGCGGATGTGTTGAAGATTGGTGTGAAGGTTGGGAGCATGCACTGGGTGTCCTGGAGCACTGAGCCTTGGGCTGCTGTAGGGAGAGACAAGGTGGATATGGCGGTGAAAAGGCTGATGAGTGGCGATGAGGAGGCGGTGGAGATGAGGAGAAGAGCTAGAGAGCTTGGAGAGAAGGCCAAGAGAGCTGTTGAAGGAGGTGGCTCATCTTATATGGATGCTGGTGCTTTAATTCAAGAGCTCAAGTCTGCCCGGAAATCTGAGTCTTGAAATGTATTTGCTCAAGGACTAACTTTTGGCATCACAGAAAGTTAAATAATTTGCAGACGAGGCTTTGTTGCTATAAAATACGACATAAATATACGAAAGATCATCTTATTGATTTCATGGTTTCAGGTTTTAAAAGTTTTAAGTTGGTTAAAATAGTTGGGATCATTAGAAAAACATGGCAATCTTTGACCCGTACCGTGGGCCTACGGATACCCGAGTAAAACGGGCGAATATAGGTGTTCATAGTATTTACCCGTTCTAAAATTATCCATACCCAATCCGCTCGTAAAAATTGAGGGTGAACCGGGTGAAGCCCACAAGTTCCGCACCCGCACAAAATAAAATAAAATAAAATTAAAACAACATGCCTTCTCTCTCCTTTCAATCTGTATCACTCTCTACCAAACAAACAAATAAATAAGTATTTTTATTCTCTTTTCTCGAGATTCAATTCAAAAGTTTGGAATGACCATTTGAGTTTTAGCTTCAACAATTCCTTTCTTGAACACTAAAGCTTCTTCTAGAAACCTCTCCAAACTCTCATCGCTATCTTCTCTGCAGTTCTCTGTACAGTTTCGTCAGATTCAAATTATTAACAACAGCCGGATTTCATCTCCCTCCCAGCCTCATCCTCTGGTACTTATTTGATTTGTGTTTTGTTCAGCTAAAGAAGAAGGGGTTTGTCTAAAGAAGAAGAAAGAGAAATTGGGTTTTTCTGAATAAGAAGGAAGAGAAAGGTTGTTGGGATTCTAAATAAATAAGATCTGCTAGCGACACAAGATAAAGGGAAGTTGGGTTTGTACTAAGAAGAAGGAAGAGAAAGGTTGTTGAGATTTTAAAGAAACAAGATCTATGACTGTGAGCTAAGGTCTCTCTCTTTCTATTTTTACTTGAAAAATGCTATTATCCATACAAGATTGCAGGCGGCAGAATTTTCAGACTTTAACAAAGAGAGGCGGTGGGCTAGAAATAATCAAAAACTGGAAAAAAAAAAATGTAAAAGAGTCCATTTTATGTGGTGACCCATGGGTTGACCTGTCCCTCTATGGACAGGATATGGATCATATATTTTCCGACCCGTGAAATTTTTTACCCATAAACTCATACCCGTTTTATCCGTTACCTGCAGTACCTGGCCCGTACCCGCCCAGCCTCTCCGTTTACCAGGTCTATCCTTATCCATAGAGGTGTAAAATGATTTGGGTTGAATTGGATTAGCATTAATCAATGAGACACATGGATTGGTTTCTTCTGATATTAACTTGTAATTCTCGATTCTAATAATAGACTTGTATTTTATTAATATTTTATTGAAATAGTATATATACATATAAATTATTAGTTTCATATATTATTATTATCATTTTTTTGCTAAATAAGTAAAAAGTATTAAAAAGAAGAAGGATATACAAAGGTCTACAAAAAAGGCAGCCGACCTATATCGGGATATTCCCTGTGTGGGTGCAAAAAATAAACAATTGCCTAAACTTGACCCTACACAATTTTCTTGAGAGCTTATCTAAACCAAGAGAAATGGGAGATAAGACCCAAGAGAAAGAATCTAGCTAAGAAATCAACAACAAAACACCACCTTTAGGACAATCCCCTAGGTTTGGCTCCAAAAAACACATACAATGAAACATAAAGAAGACTCAAGGCAAAGAAAACAAAGAGAGTGAGGATACACCACGACAAAGTCTTCACAATAACAATGAGCAAGTCAGTAAGTCTCTCATAAAAAAACAGCGTCTCACTCGATCACATGGTCATCAATAACACCGAGAGTGGAATGGGTGTCTTTGAAGATGGTTCTAGGAAGTCTCCATGTAATTTCCTATTTTTATAGGAAGATTTAATATTGCTAAGGTCCATGGCTTTGTCTCTTACCACACTTTTGATAGTATCGATAATAGTGCGAGAATCCTTGCACTCTCCCCTAAAGATCCTACAATTTCGCTCCCTCCAAACCCAATACATCGTAGCCCCTAAACAAAACCTGCCCAAGGTGACCTTTAGACTCTTACCTTTCCATTTCCTAGCCAAATGGGGTATTTAATCATGCCTAGTTCTAACCACATAGCTGAGGTCAACAAGCATAAAGATCTTACTCTAAATAGATTTAGAAAAGGGGCATGCAAAAAATAGGTGGTCAAGAGATTCCATACCCGAGTTACAAAAACAACAATGAGCATTAGTAGTAGCACCATACCTCATCAACCCGTCCTTTGTAGGCAATCTCTCCTTAATAGCCATCCATAAGATCAGAGAGTACCTTGGAATAGCCTTTAAGAACCACACCAAGTCACACCAATCAACTTTTGCTTTTCTTCCTTTAATCTCCTCCCAAGCAGATTTGCTAGAGAAATCCCTTGAAGGTGAAGGTTGCCAACAAAGCTTGTCCTCAACACTAGAAGGTGTGAAATTCACGGAGTTTCTCATGTCAATAAGCGCCCAAGAGTTTGCTCTTATTCCTTTAATTGGCCACTTCCAATTACACCCATCAAGCATAACACTCACCTTAGTATCCTTAGCAATCCCAGTATCATAAATAATTCTATCACTGTAGGTGCAAACAAGGGGGCCCTTCGGGTGCCAATTATCAAACCAAAGAGAAGTGGTGTTACCATTGCCAATGACATACTTGATATTCTTTCTAGCCAGTTCCCTATTTTTGAGGATGTGCCTCCAAGACCATGTATAATTTTAGGGAATGTTAATGTTCCAAATGCTTCTATTTTTTAAAAGATGAATTTGTACCCAAGAGACCCACATGGTATGGTTTCTATGGTTGCATAGATTCCAAATATGTCTTAAAGAAGACACAAGATTCCATTCTTTAAATCTCATAAACCCAAGCCCGCCCTCATTTTTGGGTACACACAACTCTCCCCAAGCTATTCTAGCTTTGTGTCTATTCATATCAACCCCGGACCAAAGAAAGGCTCTCAAACTAGCATCAATTTCCTTATTAATTTTGGAAGGAAGAATAAAGAGAGACACCTAAATAAATTTGCACACTCCAAAGAATAGACCTAATCAAAATAACCCTCCCTGCATAGGATAAGAATCTGCTTCTCCAAGAGGCAACCTGAGCCAAGATTTTAACCAAGTGAGGTCGACAATCTCCAAAGGTTAATTTAGAGGTAATAAGAGGGACACCTAAGTATTTGATGGGGGAGACTACCTTTAGGAAAACCTATCAAACTTAAGAGTTTCATCTTTTCATTACCACTTACACCGGAGAGGAAGACATCGCTCTTATCGAGGTTTGCACTCAAGCCCGACCAACTTTCAAAAGTAAGTAAAGCATTCTTAAGGAGAGAAAGAGAAGTACCTTCAGCTTTACAGAAAAGCATGAGATCATCTGCGAAACAAAGATGAGTCAGCCTCATTTTCTTGCATCTTCAATGAAAACTAAAGTTCAGAATAGCTGCCACTCTATTTAAGAGCCGAGAAAGAACCTCCATAGCAATAACAAACAAGTAAGGGGATAAGAGATCCCTTTGTCTCAGCCCTCTTGAGCTCCCAAAGAAACCCACCAACTCTCCATTGATAAGCACCAAGAACTTAGGAGTAGTAATGCACTTGGAAATCCAATTGACTAGTACATTTAGGAATCCAAAATTCTTTAGGACTTATAAGAGAAACTTCTAATTAGCTGAGTCATAGGCCTTCATTAAATCTACTTTCAAGGCATATCTCTTTTCCTTGGCTGAAGCTCGATTGTAATTGTGCACCAACTCTTAGCATAAGAGGATATTATCTCCTATTCTTCTATCACCAACAAAAGCTGCTTGTGCAGGGTCAATGAAGAGAGGTAGAGCACTTTTTATTCTATTTGCAATGATTTTGGTGATACATTTATAAATTAAGTTGCAATAAGAAATGGGCCGATAGTCTTTACACAAAGAAGCACTATCACATTTGGGAATAGGGCAATAGAAGTACAATTTACCTACCTAAGAAGATTGCCCTCTTGGAAGAAATCTTTAATGACCACAATTACATCCTTTCCCACCACATCCTAACCTTTCTTGAAGAAATATGTGCCAAAGCCATCCGGTCCAGGAGCTTTGTTATTACCTAAAGAAGACAGAGTGTTCTTGATTTCATCATCCATCACTTCGACCACCATCCCATTAGCCATATCATTTGTGATGCAAGGTTGAATAAGTTCCTCTAACCCTCAGAAATGTCTCACACCCCTCGGCTCTTCAAACACTTTTTTAAAGTGGCTAACCATTTCCTCTTTAATGCTCAAAGGATCATCAATAACCATGCTGTTGTCACACTTAAGCTTGTTGATTCTATTCCTATTCTTTCGGCCATTCACACAGTTGAAGAAATAGCTTGTGTTTTGGTCACGCTCTTTAAGCCATTGCACTCTAGATTTTTGCCATGCAAAAGATTCCTCGGCATGACTTAAAGTTTTAAAATTAAAGGCTTTGGCTTTTTCCTCAAGAATAAGGTTCTCTTCAAGAGGATTAGAAGCAAGATCATGTTGCACCCTTAGGAGGTTCTCTCTAGCTTCAATAACTCTTGCCGAAATATTCCCAAACTCCCTCTTGTTAAACACTTTTAACTCTTCTTCAACTCTCTTCAATTCAGTAACCAATTTATACATAGGGTTGCCCCTTACTTCTTCTTCCCATGCCTTACCAACAATGCTAATGAACCTTTAATGATGAGCCCAAAAGTTGAAGAACTGAAAAGGGATTTTCCTAGGAGAAGTACTAATTCCACAATCAACTATGCAAGGAGAATGATCCAAAATGCTTCAGGGAAGAAAATTAGCTAAGGAGTTATCAAACACACCACCTAATTTTTCATTCACAAGAACCCGATCAATCTTAGTAGTGATCATATTTCCCCCATCTCTCATATTACTCCAAGTGAAAAAATTACCCATAAAGCAAAGGTCTTCAAGCCTAGCCTCATTACACATATTGTTCAAGTCCGAAACAAAATTACTCCACCTATAAGAACCCCCAATCTTCTCATGTCCAAACCTCATCGCATTGAAATCGCCCATAATCACCCATGGTGTTTCCTTAAAATCTTGAGCTTTACCCGTCAAGTCTCTCCATAATTTTTTTTTTTTCCCAGCGGACCATTAG